CTATTTCAATGTAATGTGTATGCTTATCAATGAACATTATCAGTTCCGTTATCAGTTAATATAAGGTTTACCTTATCCTTCTAGTAGATGGCATCGTAGGAGGAGAACAACTATATGGCTACCCCCCCCCCTTGATACGGAGTTATAGTGCGCATGCGCACTTTAAACTGCCATTTTGATTTACCTTAACAACCCCACCTAAGTCCCAAATTACCCTTACCATCGTGATACCACGCCTTCTCCTTACCCTATCAATGATGAGACCACNAGAACGGCCTTGGATCTGGCTTGGTCCAACCTTTTACGGGGTGTCCCGTCATCATGAAAGAGGTCGGAAGGCGTGATGTCCGCACACTTCCGCCTCTTCATCTCCGGAGCCCTACCGGGTGTATCCGTCACCGGGATAGGGGCATCCGGAGGAGTGTCCTCCAGGACAATCGTAAGCGGCTCGTCCACCGAGGGGGACACCTCCTTCCGCTTAACGCGGAGATCCTCATCCTCCCCGAGACTGACCACCGCGCCGTCCGCTGACCCCGCTGCTTTTTCAGCCTGTACCGCCTTAGGTGATCCACCCCTCGACGAACCCCGCAGCCTCTCCACAATGGATGGCTTGGCTGGGCCATCCAGCTGTGCGTCCACTTTAGCAAAAGTACATCCGTTATCCAGTAATTCCAAGTTTTCCGACGCCAATGACCTCCCGGCTGTTTCACCGGTGGGAGTGGCTTGGTCGCCACCACTCCCTGCAGTCGCAGTACCAACCCCGTGGTTGGCTGCAGGAGCCTGCCTCAACACTCCTGCATTTACCGTGTATTCAGTTGATCTGAGCGACACCTGGTGGGTACACCCCCCACCAACCGCCGGCACTGGGGCATCCGAATCCCCTGATGCAGTAACCTTCAATCCATTTTTGTCCATTATTCATAAAAAAATAATTTTTGAGGGGGCTGCCCTCGTAGCCGGTCCCTTCGGCCAGTGAGTGGCCAATTCACTGGTTGCGTGGTCCATGGTGCTCCATTCTCACCCAAACGCTACCGCTTATTCGTCCATAAAGGCTTATTTCACGGCTACCCTGTATATCTACAGGGCTAACAAGCGTTTGGGCGGCTCGCTGTCCGCGACCGCTTATTCGTCAGTCCAAGTTAATGGACTGCTTATTTCGCGGCTAACCTGCATATCTGCAGGCCGTTCCTCTATCCGCAACCTGAGGACGCGCCCGATTCCCCGAGCTAGGGAAACTGCGCCCGTGCCGACGTTTCGTAGCCCCGTAGAGCCCGATCACGCCGACACTGTAGCGCAGCGCAACGGGGCCTCCCTTACCCCCATCCTCATAAATCCACTCCTTCCTTACCACCACCATCGAAAGACCACGCCCGCTGTGTGACCTTGACCACGGTCAATACCCCCACCATCGAGAGACCACGCCCACTATATGACCTTGACATTACCCCCACCATCGAGAAACCACGCCCACTGTATGACACTCCCCTCCCCCCGACCACGCCTATACAGGTGGGTGTGTGAAGGGGTGAGGCGGGGGGGTTCTAGAATCCCCTAAATTACCCTACTTTTGCCATAATTTGAAATTATAAGTTTATTACTATTATGAAAAATAGGTAATTATAAATAAAAAGATTTACAATTTTTTAAAACGGCCACCAGGGATTGACGACCAACCATAGAAAGTGTAACGGAAATCGCGTAAAGAGAAAAAAGGCACGCCACGAAATTAGAACTTGCGACCCAAAAGCGTTATAGAGACTAATCATACAATGGGTTACCATGCACATATGATTTAGATCCCGATACACTTTCACATAAGTTTTTAATGTGATGTGCTGTTAAGAGAAACACGGTATTGTGTCATGTTATATGACGTTTATGCTGTAACAACATCATCACGAAACTCAAATGATTACCCACAAAAGGGTTAAGGATATAGTCATTTTCTATTATTAAACATAATTATTTAATGGTAATATGCAGTAATTTGTTATTTTATTATATATTTTAAAATTAGTTCTCCCAAATATTTTATAATAGATATAATTCTAATAATGATATTAAAAAAAATAAAAATAAGACTAATATGTGGTTTGTTGAAAATATTTATTCTCTTTTATATTTTTAATGCAGCTGCTAAAAGTTTAATTATTGACACAAATCTATAAATACTGATTTCAGTGTTTTAATTTAACATTTAGAGTATAAATCTAATAGTTACGTCAGAAGAAAATTAAATAAATATGCTGTATGATAAACACGTATATTTAAATAAAATTTTTTTTTCCAAAAAACAAGTTTATCAAATATAGTACAAGAAAATTCATATTAAAAAAACTTAATACTCTTTTTTAAGAAGTGTCTAATTTTTTTTCAAGTTGAAATTAAAAGGAATTATTTTTATATAAATACGTGGCAAAATGAAAATTTCTTTACTATTAATATTAATTATGACCATAAAAGTAAGCTTCAGTGGTTACATGAAAGATTTAATGTGCTCCCATACTCGTTATTTTCTAAACTTTTTTAATCATAATGAAAGATTTTTGTTAGAACTAGAAAAGAAAAAAGATAATATAACAATCGAAAATGTTATGAACTATGGTAAGGCACTTCAAACACACAGTAAAGTAATAATGATATTTATGGAAGACTTGACAAAATGTAAACCATTTATTTTTCCTTTTAGTTTAATCATGGTAAATATGTATTTAAACAACGTTTCTGGCTCTTTAAATATGATTGCACAAAACGAAGGTGGTGAAAAAGATAATGCTCCAAAATTATTAAAAGGCTATAAAATTATTCATTTTGCAGTTAAAAAACAACTAAAATATTCTATAAATGAATATTGTAAAAACGTAGAGTTTAATGAAAGTTTGGTTAGTTGCAATCCTTATATTATTAAAAACGAATATACTACTACTAATCTTGTAAATATAAATAATAAACTGAAGGATGAAATTATGATGAAGTTTAATTATATAATCGAAAAGAATAAATACGAATATTATCATCCGAAAAAATTTTTGTTTTTTGATATAATGACCCAACAGATTCTCAGCAACAAAAATAATACTATAAAAATAGATAATAGTAAACATATAGTATTAAATCTACTTCGATTTACTCCACTTAACGTTCGATGCACCAACGGTACTCATTTATATATACAAAACGTATTTGAGTATATGAAATATAATTTTCATTCTAAAGATGTTCTAATATACATAAATTTGGTAATTTCGGCTACATTTCGACCAATAGCTATATTAATTCGCAATTTTTTAACCTTAATTCAAGTTGCATGTTCAAAGAATTCAGATAGTGTAAAATTTTGGTTAAAATCGATGTTCATTAAAGTGGGTCATAAAATAATGAGTTATATAAATTCATTTATTTCTCTCCGCTTGTTCAATTTGAGTCAGAAATTTCTAGAATATGTATTATATACTTTTACTCAAGTTTTATATGATTACATTAAAAACGTTGTTTGTTTAGAATTAGATCATGAAATTAATAATTTATTAATTAAAAAACTTTCGAATTTTTTCATAAAAAAAAATTTATTCTTTACAAGTGATTTAGCTCTTACCAATCAAAATATTAATGAAAGTAATGCTGATGAGATTAAAAATGATTTAGAAAAAATCATGAAAAAAGTTGAAATATATTTGAATGATTTGAATAAATGGAAAGACTCTTTTAATTTGATTTCTAACAAATCAAGAATTCTATGTTTTAGTGCTTCAAGTTGTAAGGAATTAATTAATTTTAAAGTTAAAGGTAAGTGAAATTAAGTACTTTTCAATATTTATATTATAATTACACACTATAATATGCTGTGTATTTAACAAATGTACTGAGTGATGATAAATGATGAACGACAACGATCCCTGTAACTCGTAGTTCATAATTTTTACCCTTCAAATCGTGCGAAATAATTTATAAAAGTATTTTAGAATTTTAGTTTAAATTAACATACTTTTAATTATTCTATTACATACTTAAGATAGTGTTTAACTATTTTTTTGTTTATATTTTTGTCCTTAACCTAACTATACGAAAATCACAATTACCTGAAATAAAGAGGACAGTGATCAAAGTACATATTTTGTAATATCTACTTTTATTAACATATTTTGATAGTATAAGTCATCTATTTAATGTGCTTTTTTTATCTAATGAAAGCTATAATGCAAAACAAGAAAATGTGCTTTATGTACTATTTTTAAACATCTGGAATTGGTTGATCTTAAATTTTTCTTATAATTTAGTAAAATTTTATCAAGGCTCTTATATCAATTTAAATTATATTTAATTTTTATTAGATTTAACTATTTAATTTTCCTCTTTGGTTATTAACTGATTTCCAAATCTAATATCTTCAAAATTAAAATAAAAACAGTTGATAAATTTCATTTAAAAATCTCTATCATCTTTATGACCAAAGCCAATTCCACAACTTATGCAATTTTCTATGTCCTTATTTTATTGGACATTTACATGGGCCTTTTAAAAATTAAATTTATTTAAATTTAATAGATTTAACTATGTAAATTTCTCTTTTACGTGATCAATTGATTTTCAAATCTAATTATAAAGAAAAATAAAAAATTTAAAACATTTAATTTAGAAAGCACCATCATCTTATTGACTAAAGCAAATATTTGTTTATTATCCACTCTTAAAATCATATTTTCATTTATTTTAGATCGTATTTGTAATACTGAATCACATATTGAAATACACAATGCTAGTACGAATGATAGAAATAATATTGAAATAGGATATTATGAAGATAAAGAATGTGCGAAAGATGATATCACAGAATTTAGCTTAAAGGACCTTAAAGACGACCTTGTTGTAAAAGATATTAGTACAAATGACTCCCTTGAAAATCAGTCAACTTATAAACCTCTTTATATGATTGATTATTGGCCATACAACGTTTAAGAATTGAGATGTTTTAAATTGTTTTTATTATATATTCTCATTAATTATTTGCAAAGCTTTTACTTGTTGCAATATAGAATACCGAGTGATACTTTTAACGCTATCCATTCAATATCTCTTAAAATAATAATTATATTAAGAAAGTTATTTTGGTATTTTTTTATTTCATATATTCCCGATTTACAAATTATTAATTGTTTTTAGCTTCAAGGCGAATCTGGAAGATATTAATTTTACTATGTTTTTTTTTATCTGCACTGCAGCAGTTTAATGATTCTCGGCAACTCATTGTATTTAACGTCACCGCAACGAGTATCCATTCCATGTAGGTATTTTTTCAACCAAAAGTTTGTTTTAGCATCGCTCTTGATACTTTTTGGATGTTTAAACATCCAATGAACGAAAGAAGTTCATTTTATGGCAATGGCAGTCAGTTCTTTGACTAAAAATGATCGGTCGGCTGCCACAATACTTTGTATATTGGTTGTCTTCTAGATAGTATTGTAAAGTTTCGGCAGAATCTGAGGGCCTACTATTAACCCACTGCCCAGGGGAACACTGGACAATGACCTAGTAGCCGAGCCAAGCGAGAATAGTTCTCGTTGACGGAGCTACTAGGTTTTGATTAAAAAAAAAAAACAAATATTAATAAAATGAGAGAAGAGTAAAAATAGAAATGCCATGTATAATATAATAACATTTTTTAATTATTTAAAATTTATATCTATATCATTCAAATATATATTCATAAAAAGGGGAAAAAAGAGAGGCGTGATTTACACAACATTAATAAAGTGGTAGAAAAAGGGGGGTTTATGTTGTACTTTATACTTTTATTTTACAAAAAACGGAGGACAAAAAAAATAAGATAATGAAAACATTGTTTTCACCATAGAAAACCTATATACAAAAAACACGACTAGTCGCCTCAGTAGCATATCTGAGAAGAAAAAATCTCGTCGTCACGGCATTTTAAGTGATCAGTGGTTGTGACGCTGGGTGGTGGTAGTGCCAACTTTGAACGCGTTCATTGGGAGAATACAAGAATATTGGTACAGATGCACAGTGTATGGTCAGTTGATGACAATAGGATAACAGGTATCGTACCGGTTGACTGGTGGAGGTTATCAGATATACAACTATCAAGAAATACTTTAAACCTTATGCACACACCACTAATTGATAAGATTTATTTAAAAAACTAGCATAAATTCTACAACATTACAGTATATTGGTGGTAATGTTTGCCTAACCTGGACTACGGTAAACAGTTCGGTTGATCTCCTTTTTTCAATGTTCTGCCTTTATTTAAATGCACACCAGTTTTGCCAAGAATCGTTTTGTATGCATGCAAATCCGATTTGGAGTAAACACCAGGGTTTATCGAAAACAGTAAATTCGCTAGACCCATAGTCAGTGGGGATTTTTTCATCTAAAACATTAATTGTTTCTCTATCGAGAAAGATATTGTTGGCTTCACCTAATGTCATTGTTTCATCCGGTGATACCTTGGTCCATACATTTTATCTCTGTTGGGGTTCATTGACCATTGATTCATGTACTGATGGGAAAACGCGTCATTGTGTTCCACAGTGTATCTATCATCGTTTAAACTCTTTATAGTTTTCTGTAATTGTTTTTGATGTTGTTGCTCTTGTTGTAACGCAATTTTATCCAATGATTCAATGATTAGCGCCAACGGCCTTTTTACACGAGTCTACAAATTCTCTTCGTCGCGACACATTTCTATGTACTTTTTTCGAACATTTTCCCGAGATTCAGTCAACATTTTCAGCAATGATTCCCTATCGGCACACATGTTGTAACACATGTGTTAAACTTGTATCTGTATCGACGGTCATCCCGTGCAAAGTCCAAACAAATCACTACGAATCCGTACCGGTCCTTGTTCTAACAATCTTTGAAAAACTCTTTGTATTCTTTGAATTTCATATCGCAACACATGTATTCATTGTACACGTGTCGTAGATTAACTTTATCCTGCCGGAACATCACCACCACATTTGTGTTGTCACGTAACATTTATTTTTGTATGCATGACAGTATTTGGAAGAGTAAAAACATCAACTTGCCTGTGTCGTTTTCGCGCGAAATAATCACACATTAAATTTTGTTTTTCCATGACAACTTCATTGAATATAAAAACGGAATTGGGTAGGGTGTTGTCCACCGACGGTATATCGTCACCTTTTTTATAGGTGAACAACTGTTCTCCTTGAACGCCGCATAAAACATCCACGAGTAGTTGATATTTGCATTGATGCAACGATTTTGAGTAAACGTATACATTTTCAAATCGAAGTCCGTTTATATCGGTCAGTAAGGTAAACATCAAGTTTGTTTTTCCACAATTTGACGGTCCGCAAATTAAAGCATGTATTGTGTTTGGCAATAGTTTACCGTGTTTACTGGATGCGACATTATTACTTTTCTCAAAATTAACTATAGAAAGCGTGAGGGTCTATTTTTTGAAACGCATCGCACGTCATCAAACAATAACCGTCAATATGAAAATAATGGTTAAACAGAGACAACGTGGAAAACAAGGTGCAAAGATATTGAATACTGTAATCAACAGTATACCATCCGAATCCCACGTCCACTTGTGTGTGTGTGTAATTATTCAAAATTATTATTTGCAAATAGTTTTATCATTATTTTAAATGTTTATCATTTAGGCTATCAATTTGCGGGCCCTGGAACACAGTTAGAAAAGAGATTGAAGCAAGGTGACGTTGGGGTGAACCCACTTGATGCTGCTTGCCGCAATCACGATATCATTTATAGTAAAAACAAGAATCTTGAGGACCGTCATAAAGTGGACAAGGTGTTGGAACATCGGGCTTAGGAACAAGTGTTGGCCAAAGACGCTAAATTGCCTGAACGATTCCTAGATTGGGGTGTGACCAACGCGATGAAATTGAAACGTAAACTCGGTATAGGTTTCAAACGAGTCATGCGTGCAGCCATACTCGATAAAAATGTTCAACAAATGAATTTACTGATTGTGGCTAAACGATCATTGATGGCGGCACGGCGTGTTGTGAGAAAGAAAAAAATTTCACTACCCCGTACATAAACGTTCCGAAAACTAAAGGCTGTGTACTACCGCTCATATCTATATTTGCCGGGTTGTCGGCGTTGGGAGCTTTAGCCGGCGGTGCTGCAAATGTAGTCAAGATGGCTACCGAATAACAAAATTATTTTAATATTATTATAATTGTAAAAAACCATTGTTATATCAGATGAAACTAAAAATCATTTTTTGAAGACTTAACTTCTACTTGCAAATGGCTGCTGTAGTTAAAAAACATGCTATTTTTGTGATCAATTTTTTTTTATTTATTTTAAAATACTTATAAAAAAGTTTGTCATACTATAAGTCATAGTATAATTTTTATAAAATTTATATGAATCTAACTAAAATGTCGTATAAATTTAAACTTGTTTTGAATATTTTACCTCCTCAAAGTGAAGGAAAGGGGAATTGAATTTTTGAACTAGTTTATATAGTTCTTTTTATAAAAAAATATTCATGTCGATCACAGTGGTTGTGTTATTAACTGTACAGTATTATAATGTCGTAATATGCCTAATGCTTTGCATTGCACATTTTACATTTATCAATGAAAAATTTATAATCTGTATTTCATATTACTAGTATACAAACAAATAATTTATTTATCTGTCATAACATATACACTAGCTATTATATAGGTTAACATCTTATTTTAAAATAACTATCATATTATGTTTAATTTAATACAATAAATTGAGAATCAATAAAAGCGCTGACGATAACAACCCATGAAGGGGTAATTAAAAATAATATAAAAATACTTAGTTCTGTTTGCACATCAGTGAGTGAGCGTGCTAGCGAGCGGCTCATTCTCTCTTCTTTTTGATGATCTGAATTCAATAACGAATTCAGAATTCTTCTATCTGATTTATTTTGATCAAACTAGCCGCGACCCTTGTTGTTGTCGGTACATTTTAAAACGATATCGAATACAATTATTTTGCGTCAATACTTTATTTATTTTAAAGGAACAGTATAAATCTGAACGTAAGATATCTAAAAAAATAAGTAAATTCATATTAACCCAATTATTTAGAATTAATAATTTGAGTAAAGAATGGTAAAGTAATAGATTTTTTGAACATCATTTAATTTAATTATTAATAACTATTAGTGCTTGGTCATATACTTCAACTAGGTGTCTGAGAAGAGGCCAAGACGCCGGCCACTTTAAAAATACCTCAGCGTTTAATACCTCTATGAGAGGATCTTAATACGTATCTTTTTATATCTACTTGTCTTTACTATTCTAAACCCTCGGACTATACAACCCCGATAGAACCTCGTTGCTCCTGAATTGACCGAATCCCCAAATATCCAACATTGGTCAAAAATACCCTAACACCCCTTTGCGTATTTTTGTATTACTATAATAAGTTTGGGGTACAAAGTACAGAACCCCGTCAACCAAAATAACTATTTTTGCATATTTTTCTTAAATTTTTTTTTTTTTTGAGGTGGAAAAGAAAATTCAACCCAAAATATTCAATAATAATAATAATAATAAATAATAAAAATTATAAGTATATTTTTGATTCTGTTGAAATTTATTTGTAGACCATTTATTTATAATTAACCACAAATTATTTTCTGAACATATTTGTATCAAGTATTTTAAAATTCCCTCGTTCCCTGTAAATGGGGGAAACCTCTAAAAAAATTACAAATTTAAAAATCGCTAATTTTCGAAATTTTTTTTACTAAAATGTGTCGTAATTTTTTCAAAAATGAAGATATCAATATAATTTTTTTTTTTTTGAAGATGATTGATGTCTTTACCTATCATTTGGTATATTTTTTTCATAAATTTAACCCTTAACCTGCCCACAAGGGGGGATTTAAAATGACAACTTTTTCACAAAAAATTAACTTTTTCAACTTAACTTTTGAAAATGTTCCGGAAGGTCTGACACTTTTATATATATATTAAATTGAAGCTAATGTAATGTTCTTTATTATGCAAAAAAAAAAATTCAGACTTTATTTTATCTTCACGGTGAAAATGGCTACCGAATGCTATTTTTGTCTGAAAATTCTCGATTTTATAATTTACATTTTTTACTTTAAAGTGCTATAACTTTTTAAAAAATGTATGGATCAACACAATTTTTTTATGAGAAATAAAATTTTTTAATAAACCCTTTTTCATTCGACATACTTTATCTTAATCAGGATATTACTAAGGAACTAGCAGATCATGTAGCTTTTTGAATAATCCACCAAT